GTTGCTTGTTAATAGTCTTGGGAAGTCTGATTCACCTCCATGAACCGGTTGACAGTTTGTTTAATGAATCGGTTAAGAGAAACTGTTGCAGCGTTTTGCCAATACATCTTGGACAAGTTTCCTATCATGAAGTTTTGCACCTAAAACATACAATACAGACATTTGATGCACAAAAGCGGATTTTCGGGTGTCTAAAGAATATAAAAAGAACAATTCTCATTATTTTTCTGATTTATTTTTTTAACTCATTATTTAGTTTAAAATGGCTTGTTCTGTTGTCTACAATGAAAGGTTTTGAGCGCCGCACCAGAATACATGAAGATATAATAGATGATTATAATAATCACTGAATACTAAAGAAGTGCAAAACGACGTAAGCCTCCAAATCTTGTAGTCACAGCGAGATTAGGTAAACACATTTATCCAATCTATAAAGAAAAAAAGAATCTAAAACAACAGTGAGGAATCGATTCCAGAGTCGACTCCAGAACCAGTAATCAGAATCAATTAAAAATTTCAGAATCGAACAGCCCTAGATGAACAATAAAAAGCCAATCAGAATCAGACTTTAAAGAGCTTGTGCATTTAAAGGCACAATATGTAAGATTTTTTTAATTAAAATATCCAAAAACCACTAGAACAGTGTTATATATTTTGCTGACTTGTGTACTTACATTATCCCAAAGTTTTTTATAGAATGTTTAAATCCAGAGAAATAAGCTATTTTAACTAGTGACACGGAGTGTCATTGTGTCGCCTGCCAATTAAGTCATAACCCCTCAATTTCTGGTTTTGTTTTGTAGAAAATATGGAAACACCAAAGACGCTTTATTATGTTATGCATTTTATTAGACCGGTGACGACCGCACAGAGTAGCATTATAACAGAACTAAATGTATCTAGTATGATAAAACAGAGCTGCTTTACCCCACATACGCACGACCGGAAGCAGCGCAAGCGCTCGACTGTGGCATAATAAAAGCTCCGCTGCTTTCCAGTCGTGTGTCGCGCTCGTTCAGCGCCTCGTTTCACTTCGGCGGCTTTCAGCCTCACTCTGCTTCATTCTACTACGCTAATAAATCATTAGCTCATCCATGAACATGATTTCTGCCCGAGTCCCGTTGGATTGCATCGGCTGTGGGGATGAAGACCATAACTCCCATGATTCCACACTCAGTCACAGCGTCATCAAACTAGTCCTTTGTTTATTTTGAATACACGCCCTCTAGCGGCGAAAATGACATATTGTGCCTTTAAAGTGGCAGACTAAAACTGCAGTGCACCCTTATAATAAACGGAACGTTATCGCCTGCCGACATGGATGCTAGTATTGTTATAGTTACTGTTCTTGGTGTGAATGGGCCTTTACTTCTCCATGGCGGTTTTGAAGTCCTCGGTGCCAGCAGCAGCTCCAAACACTGGGTTTCCATCTGCATTGACGCCAATCGCTTCTCTCAGCTTGCATTCGGTGGTGCGCAAGATGTAGCTGCATGTACCAGGACCTGCAATCTCAACCTAATGCGATATTCACACTGCATTGTTGACAAAACGGCAGTAACTTTAGTGTTTGATGTAGGGAAATGAGCTCATACTGTACCTTGCAGCTGGCCTCGGGGCCATTGACCGCCTCATTCAAAGCGTTCAAGAAAGACGCTTTATTATGTTATGCATTTTATTAGACCGGTGACGACCGCACAGAGTAGCATTATAACAGAACTAAATGTATCTAGTATGATAAAACAGAGCTGCTTTACCCCACATACGCACGACCGGAAGCAGCGCAAGCGCTCGACTGTGGCATAATAAAAGCTCCGCTGCTTTCCAGTCGTGTGTCGCGCTCGTTCAGCGCCTCGTTTCACTTCGGCGGCTTTCAGCCTCACTCTGCTTCATTCTACTACGCTAATAAATCATTAGCTCATCCATGAACATGATTTCTGCCCGAGTCCCGTTGGATTGCATCGGCTGTGGGGATGAAGACCATAACTCCCATGATTCCACACTCAGTCACAGCGTCATCAAACTAGTCCTTTGTTTATTTTGAATACGCGCCCTCTAGCGGCGAAAATGACATATTGCGCCTTTAAAGTGGCAGACTAAAACTGCAGTGCACCCTTATAATAAACGGAACGTTATCGCCTGCCGACATGGATGCTAGTATTGTTATAGTTATTGTTCTTGGTGTGAACGGGCCTTTACTTCTCCATGGCGGTTTTGAAGTCCTCGGTGCCAGCAGCAGCTCCAAACACTGGGTTTCCATCTGCATTGACGCCAATCGCTTCTCTCAGCTTGCATTCGGTGGTGCGCAAGATGTAGCTGCATGTACCAGGAACTGCAATCTCAACCTAATGCGATATTCACACTGCATTGTTGACAAAACGGCAGTAACTTTAGTGTTTGATGTAGGGAAATGAGCTCATACTGTACCTTGCAGCTGGCCTCGGGGCCATTGACCGCCTCATTCAAAGCGTTCAAAGACTCTGTCTTATAGAAGTATTCATACTTGTTGAAGGGTTTGTATCTTTTGGCCACTAGAAACAGCAGAGCAATTCATTAAAACATTATTTAATGCATAAATACATGCTGACATTTAATATTGAATTTAGATCATTACAGCTGTAGGTTTGCATGTAGACATACTCAAGCATGGTGGTCCTTCATCCTGCGCGTCTGTAATAAAAAATGCATGTCATTACACTGTAATCAGGGCTGAAAACGTCCAAAATGTGAATCTGTATTAGTTTAAGTTCTTTATTGCAATGGCATTGGGGTGAGAAAAGTAAAATTCATGCATAAATGGTCTAATTTCATATGAATCTAATAATAATAAAAATAAAAATAAACAACTAGCAACTTTTATGGACTTTTGACCCTATGTCTATACAAATTCCACTATTAATACAATGACCACCTATGTCTTATTTTATTTTAATGTATGCATTTCTATAAATTGGATCTGATTATTTGTATGTTTGGAAATATTCTTCTTGACATGAGATCTGTACAAAATTATATTTTGAGTTTATATTGATTTTTCTTCTATTGAAAAATAATAAATAAAACATTTATAATAAATAAATGAACTAAAAAAATAAAAAGAAAATGTTCATACCCCATTGGCAGACTTATTGTATTTTTTTTTTCAGGATATAACTCCTTATGTCATTTTGCATCTTAAATAAAGGTATCTTGATTTAAGAATGTTTAGATATTTGTACTGAGAAAAAAAAGACAAAAATACTGAAGAAGAAAAGCATTTTTGCAGTGCAAAGAAAATTATGAAAGAAATCTTTTTTGATGAGCTTTGCAACATTCACACTGAACTGAATCCACATTTGAACTGAATGAAGCTGTATAATTACAGCATTAACACTGTTATTGAAACTATCTGTATTGTACAAAGCACTATCAAAATAAATGTGACTTGACTATACTTACTTGACAAGGCGACGGTGCTCAAAAGCAGCAAAAGACTGAGCTTATTTTCACCCATGATGCTCCAGTACAGCTTTCAGATTTCTGAGCAGGAGATTTATAGCAAACCAAACTCATGTTAAAATTTCAGCCCCCGACTCCAAAGTTCATGCAAACGCTGTGACAGAATAAAGCTAATAGAGTTTGACATTGATTTTCCGAAGAAAAAAAAAGATAGCGCAAACAAATTTAAACATTAGAGCAGACAAACAGCCATTTGGACACACCTATTCGTCTCAATCACAGTATCAATAAATATTGCATAATGCAATTTCCCAATCTTGCTCAATCTATAACTTCAGATCTGGACTCAGCAAAATTAGTTTTTGACTAAACAAGGACTTTGTGATAAACACAATCAGGAGGTTTCAAGATGAACCTGCAGAAAATACTCATATACCGATCTTATAACTGATGCAAGGACAAAACTAAATGAAAGATAGAGAGACGTATGAATGTGGATTATATTTTGGTAGATAGAATACATTGCACACCATTACATTCAGATGTGTTCAATCCCTAAAATCTGGCTGTGATTTTGATGGCCTGTAGACAGAATCTGACATGACATAACCCTGAGAGTAGCTGAAAACTACTGCAATTCATATATTTTATTAAACTTATCTGCACAAGTGAGCACAGCGGCAGGACTCTGAACTCTTTAAACTGACCTGAATTAATTTTGAACTACACTTCTCACACCGCTATTGATTTCTGTTGAGCTTCTGTTTGGGTGCATTAAAAAAAGTTGCAATTATGAGAAATAAGTCGCAGTTACCAGCTCAGGGTTTCTATAGATTGCTGCTTCTCGTGTCAAATCTTGACTGGTTTTAATCAAGTAAATGTCAGAATAACTGCAGTAATATCTCCAGATGAACACTTACTGCACTGAAGCAGCTCAGCTTTACTTGATTCTCCATCAATCATGTTTTAGAGTCTCAAATCTGATCCTCAGGATCTTTTGAGGAGCGTTTGTTTCCAGAAGCTTTACTTTCACTGTTCCTCAGCGGAGGAATGATCTTCACAAGCCTCCAGAACATCTCACATCTTCTGAGGAGCCTTTATTTCTTCAGCTCTCAATCACTGCATTATATGTTTGGAGCATTTCAATCTCATCTCACTGAGACATGTTACTGCAGATATAGAGCGACCGCTGATATTTAGAGCATTTTATGTCAGTATCTGATATAAAGATCTCATTGATTTACATCACAAGCATCAGCAGAATTTCAGCATAGAAATATCAGCATCTGCACCAAAGTCATATTTTTGCTCAGTTTGAGTCTCTGAATAAAACTGAGCTGTTTTCCTTCATATTATCACTATGCCATAAAAGCCTGATTGATCAAATATGATGTTTTGAAGTTCATTGCACGTCTTCTTTCTCCTCAGGCTTTCTGATTGAACTCGTTCCCATGATTCTTTGCAGCAGAGCAGCTTTCTTCTTTCTTCTCTCCCGTGAAGAACATGCAACATTGTGCTGAGGCTCCGGTCGAGGGGCGGAGTGTGTGTGTGTGTGTGTGTGTGTGTGTGTCTAGAGTTACAGAGCTTCATCTGTCCAGAGGCATATGGGTGGAGAGACTCTCAAATATGTGCGTGTTCAGATCTCAGACGCTCACAGCGGCGTGGAGAAGATGTTTATCAGCTCTGGACATTGTACACGAAGCCTTTCAGAGTGTCTGAACGCATGCAGACAGAGAGAAGAACGACAGAAGTGAACAAAACAAACATGGAGAGCAGAAGATCGAGGAGCACAGGGTGAGAGAGGTGGACAAAACCAGTTACACTTTACAATAAGAGTCCTTGTTAGTGAATGCATTAACTAACACTGAGCAGTGAGTGTAAGGTGCACTGAAAATGTACTCCAATAATCTTTTTTTATTTGCTAACTTATTTTATTAACTTATAATATATATATATATATATATATTTATACTTTTTGTACATTGTATTTAATCTTTAAAAATGAATTATAAACTGTATTGTAACTGTATTGTTAGTTTATTTCAGTTGCATTAAATAATATTAACAGATACAAGTTCAGATTTTTAATATATTAGTAAATGTTGAAATTAACATGAATTAATTCTTTAGAAGTATTTTCATTGTTAGTTCATGTTAACTCGGTTTAATTTTTGTAAAGTGTTAACTGTGTCACAATATATTTTAAAAAAAAATTACGGGAAAATATAAAAATTCTTGAAATACAATAGTGTATAAAATAATCATGTGTTAATGTCTATTTTTGATTATTGACTGAATGGAAAACTTCGAATTAAATCGAATGAAAAGATCAGATGATTCATATCAAATCAGTCTGAGTCAGTTTCACATTATGAAAAAGCTCAAGACTTAAAACTAATATTGGAAAAATATAGACTAAATTACGACACTTAATGCAAAAGGATAAGATGTTGTTCAGCAGTTTTTATAAAATAACTAAGATAATTAAATTAAAGCTTTATTTACATAGACGAGGAGTGCACTGCATTAAAATAACTAAATAACAATTATAAATTAAATAATTAAATTAAAACTTTTTATTTACATAAACTAGGCGTGGCGCTATATTTATAATAATTCAATACAAATTTTAAAATAATTAAATAAAATAAAATAATCAAATCAAAATGATAAATAATTAAATTCCATGTTAAATGTCCATTAGTGTTTGCAGTATTTATTATGAATGAGTTTATGTGGATTTTATAGTGATTAAAGGGATTGTACATTTCCCTAAACTCCTAAAGGGACAAATATCCCTGAACTCTGGTAGAAAATTATATACATTATGAAGACTTTCTCGACTTCTTAAGGTTTTGTTAATTTCAATGACTTCCACAGGCCTATTTTATCATTGATTTATCAGGTTTTCCAACCCTGGTTCTTAAAAATCTGCTGCTAGCTGTCTGAATATATGTCATGCATTATAAAATGTGAAGCAGAATCTGTTTATTCTGTCGTTAAGGATGGAGGCAGGCTTCTAGCTGAATGCACGGACTGAAGGGTGAGATGAATCTGCTGCGCAGCTGCAGAAAGAGGACGAGTGCGTGTCGTCTGCTGCTGCGCATGTGTCTGCTGCTGTGTCTGCTCTGCGTCTGCGCTCACGTCTACATGCAGCTCGAGGGTCTGCGTCTCCAGAAACAGAGCCAGCATCACAGGACCGTCGCCACGGCAACAGATGCTGCAGCTGATGCTGGATCCACCTGCTGCTTAGCGCTGAATCACCACAGACGGGTGAGTGAGAGTCGGTCATCTTCTGTGCAGCAAATACTGCGTTCACACTGATAATCTAACTCCTCCAGGAATCGAAGACCTTCAGTCTCAAAGAAGGCTTCTCGTGATATCTCTGGTACTTCTGCGATAACGACAAAGCTTTTTTATCTCCTTGAACTAGGAGTGGCGCTGTATTAAACTAACTGAACTAAACCATTATAAATAATTTAATGAATTAAAATAAAATGATGCAATTAAACTTTTTGTTTACATTGAAGTGGCACTCTATTAAAATAATTAAAATATTTAAAAATAAAATAACTAAACTTCTTATTTACATAAACTTGAAGTGACACTATATTAAAACAATTAAATAAAATAATTACAAATAATAAAATGTATTAAAATTAAATAATTAAATAAATTTTACATAAACTAGGAATGGAACCATATTTAAAAAAATTATTATAATTATAATTACATTAATAAATTCAAATAAAACAATTAAATTACTCTTATTTGCTCAAACTAGGAGTGGCACTGTTTAAAACAAATAATGATAAATATTTAAATTAATTCAATAGAATTAAAAATATATACACTGAATTAAAACGAATAACAGTGGCACTGTATTAAAATAATATAACAAAAGAATTATAAATAATTAAATTAATTAATTAAAATAAATCTGAATAAAACAATTATAAATAATTAAACTGCATATGTTTTAGTTATTGCCTGTTCCCTATTTACTGTCAATTAATTTACACGACTTTTACAGTTGTTTGTGATTAAAAGGATTTATTTTTACGCACAAAAAGCAATTTAACATAACACAAGTCTTTTCCAGTTCTAGAAGTATTGGTTGTAAAAATTAGTTCGTGTCACAAATGCTCTTAAACAAAAGCGTATTCATGCCGTCCTGCTCTTCTGAAGACTTTCACAAGTAGGGCCTGACCTCTGACCTCTGACCTCTGACCTCTGAGTCGAAGCACCACACAAAGCTCCCTTTTCAGTGCACTTGGCCGATTTACTGAAAATGACTCGTGCATAAAACATGAGCTCATTAACATAAGCCCGCCCACATTTACACTTCAAAACCTGTTCGGTATTCAGTAACGTGACGCATCCTAATGAATGATGCTCATTTACATACAGGTGTCTTAAAGATACAGCAGCAGAAATATAGACTGATATTATAAAGGGGACAAATAAAATGTTAAAGCATTGAAAGCAGGCAGAAGAGCATCTGATATTTAAATAAACTTCACAAGCGTGCTATTAAACACATGTTGAAAGCAGAGATTCAGCATTTTGAGGGAAGGGTTTATAGTCTCTATTGGAAGCATATGAATCAACACAGACACAAACATGCAAAACTATCTAAATTAAGACATTTGGATGCATGAAGTTGCTCAGGAAAAACGTTTATAATGTTACAAAGATTTCTATTTCAAATAAACGCGGTTCTTTTGAACTTTCTGTTCATCTGTGAATCCTGAAAAATGAAATGCATCACAGTTTCCACAAAAATATGAACTGTTTCCAACATTGATAATAATCAGAAATGTGCATATTATACTGATTTCTGAAGATCATGTGACACTGAAGACTGGAGGAATGATGCTGAAAATACAGCTGCGCATCACAGAAATACATTACAGTTTAATATAGATTCACAGAGAAAACAGCTGTTTTAGATTACAAAACTATTTCACAATTTTTTATGTATTTTTGATCAAATAAATGCAGCCTTAAGTGAGCAGAAGATACTTTTTTTCAAAAACATTAAAAAATCTCACCGACCCCAAACTTTTGAGTGTACGCTGTTCAATAATACAATAACACAAAAAAGCATCACATGCCATTCTAATCTTCTAACAGGAGTGACAAGGCTCTTTCTTTCTGCTCTGAAATAAAAGAGTTTAATTTACAATATAGACATACTCCAAATGTCCACCAAATTCCTGGGGTTTGTGAAGGCAATGTTTTTAGTGTTAGTGATTTAAACAAACTTGTTTACAAACATACGATCATTTAATGACACGCAGCTTGTTTCCAGGCAACCGCTGTTATATTTCCAGATATTTGGGTTAATCATATTCCCTCTTATTTCAGGCTTGTTCAGCCACTTCTCCTCAGATATTCCACTTGTGATGTTTATCAAACTCTTAATTTAAAAATTACAGTCTGTAAATGAGCACAGAATGCGTTTGTGTGTTTCTCTAACACGAGCTCCGAGGGCTTCTGCGTGTCTGAAGAGCGGATATCAGGAGTTAATTGAAGGCAGCTGTGCAAACAGAGCAGCCGACGGCTAAATGTGCGCCAGAGACTCGCTGGGATTTTGTTGGTCCTTGAACAACACTAAGTTATTCATTGATCCCTAAATCAAAAATGAACATTTGCTGAATATTGACTCGGCCTCAGGTCATCCGAGATTGGGATGAGTGTGTTTCTTCATCAGGTTTGGAGAAATGCAGCGTTGCATCAGTGTCTCAGCAATGGATGTGAATGGGTGCCGTCAGAATGAGAGTCCAAACAGCTGATAAAAACATCACAATAATCCACAGCACTCCAGTCCATCAGTTAACATCTGGAGAAGACAAAAGCTGAAACTAATCCAGCGTTAAGATGTTTTTAACTCAAATACCAGAGAGTTCATAATCCATAATAACTCTTCCTCCAGTGAAGAAGTGTTCTGGGCTGAATCAGGAGAGAAATCTGCACAGATCAAGCAGCGTTTAAACAGCTCTAAACACATATGTGATGTGAGAGACAACAGCAGATGCACTTTTTCACTGGAGGAAGACTTGTGGATTATTGTGATGTTTTTATCAGATGTTTGGACTCTCATTCTGACGGCACCCATTCACATCCATTGCTGAGACACTGATGCAACGCTGCATTTCTCCAAATCTGATGAAGAAACAAACTCATCCTAATCTCGGATGATCCTGGGGGTGAGCACATGTTCATAGAAAATGTTCATTTTTGGGTGAACAGTTCCTTTAAGAGCAGCGCAGATAGATTCTAAGAATGTGGACTCTTAATGCACATCATAACTGAACAGCAGACAGAGAAAACATGCTAATATTTATAGTACTGAAGGCACTTGGGAGGATGAAGCATTGCGACCCCAGATGTTGCGCTCATGTTGAACCGGGTTTGTTTGACATTTGTAAGGAGGGACGGAAAAAATGCAGTTCTAATAAAAGCCACAGCGTCATCTGGAATCTGCAGTAAATAGACAGCAGCTGAATCAGTCCTTCCAGCTCTGAAAACAGACTTCATGAAACAAACCAGCCTCACAGATCAGTCATATTATACTGATAATAGACACTTACTGATGTTTCTGCTGCTGCTTTCCCACCAAAATGATGTCACTTCCTGTAGGACGACAATGATGGCATTGAGGAGAAGCTGTCGGAAGTTACAGGGATTCTATTCAAGGATATAAACTGATTATCAACGTAAGCTATATTCTCAAGAATACATACAATATTTCAAAAGCTTAAAACTCTGCTCAAGTGCACCGAGGGCAAAAGCTGCTTTAAACGCAAAGGATGCTCACACCAAATGTTGATTTCATTTAGTCAATAGAAGTTAACGGATTAAGAAAATCTATTTATGGCATTATTTTTGGCAGCATCCTCACTTTACAGCATTTTTACACAAGTGCCTAAAACTTTGAACAGCACTGTAGCTTTGCAGGAGGTTTCTTGAAGCGTCAGTTCTTCTGGATTGAGTCTGTCTCAGTGTGTTCTGTTTCTTCATGTCACTCCAGACAGACTGATGATGATCAGATCACATCTCTGTGTGCAGCACACAAATCTCACTGCATTATTACAATTAATGGCTAAATGAATGTTTGGAAATGTAAACTGATATTTCCTGCTGACACACTACAGCAAAAGAGAGAAATAACTGACTTAAAACCATTTTTAGCTGCTGGAAATACTAGTGTCCTAATCATTTTGGCCACCGCTGTAAAATAGAAAATAGAACATTTTTAAAAAGAAAACAAAAAAAATGACAAAAGCACAGAAAATTACTAGGATCAAAATGAAAACAGAAAATATATATTTTTTTAAAAAGAACTAATATAGTCAAAATGTTAATAAAATACTAGAATAAAAACAATCAAACGAAAAGAGAAGATCCACATCTTCACTAATGAATACTTAACTTTACAGAAAGATTCAAATATGTAACAGGAGCACCTTGACGTTTAAAGACGTGGAAATCTTAGATGAGACAGGTTACATTTGCTAAAAGAAAAATATATATGTGACCCTGGAGCACAAAACCAGTCATAAGGGTCAATTTTTAAAAATTGAGATGTATGCATCATCTGAAAGCTGAATAAATAATCTTTCCATTGATGTATGGTTTGTTAGGATGGCACAATATTTGAAAATCTGGAATCTGAGGGTGCAAAAAAATCTAAATATTGAGAAAATCATCTTTAAAGTTGTTCAAATGAAGTTCTTAGCAATGCATATTACTAATCACACATTAAGTTTTGATATATTCACGGTAGGAGATTTACAAAATATCTTCATGGAACATGATCTTTACTTAATATCCTAATGATTTTTGGCATAAAAGAGAAATGTATAATTGTGACCCATACAATGTATTGTTGGCTATTGCTACAAATATCCCCCAGCGACTTAACACTGCTTTTGTGCTGCAGGGACACAGATATTGAACAGACATTACTGTCCATCACAGCCGCCTCTGAGTAAGTTCACTGCCGTGTTTTGACGAACTGTTTGTGTGTAGGTCTCTAGATGGAAGATCTGGCTGGAGCCGTGGGCCGCTGAGACTCGAGGTCTACAGGAGGAAGCGGATCGGTTCCTCAGATACATCTCCACTCCGCAGGTACAAGCCCAGCGTTCAGTTCAGAGTTAATCAGCTGTGATGAATGCTGATCTTCAGTGTGTCTCTGTGTGTGTGTGTGTGTGTGTGTGAAGCTGTCCTGCCAGAGACCCGCGTCTGTGCCGCCCGTCTTTGACGCAGAGCATCATGGGTCGTGGCTTCTGTGTTTGGACCGCAGGTTCAGTCTGGCACAGCGCATCGTGTCCAAACACTGCCGCGTCTATTCGCTCAGGTCAGTCCCACGCTGAAGCCATTTATTTGTGACACATCATAAACATTTTTCATAAAACATGAGTCCGAGCTTTATGCTCTGGGTCAAACTGAGCTGAATTTGATTCAACATAATTTGCCAGAAAATCACACTTTGAAAAGCAAAGACACAGATCAGATAAAAACAGTAGACCCTTAACTTTTATTTAAAAAAAAAAAAAGTTTTTTTAAAAAGAACATTTATTTATCATTACGAATCTTCATTTTGTAACATCAGTCATTCTTAATCTTTCATCAATTGTTCATATTTATGTGATTTATGTGTGAAACATTTCAACCTGTATATCATGTTATAAATCTGGGTATGAACTGTACATATGCAGATCAAATTAACTTTATTGAATTTTATTAGATTTAATATTTCACTAAATTCACCAAAAATCCCACTATGGGGAAAAAAGGTAAAAGCAGAACACCTTTTACATTAACAGTTCTTACACATTACACAAAATAAACATGAGAACATATGATTTGTAAAACTGTTTAACAACTAATTTTTTTAACATAAACTGTTATTTTTATAAACAATATTGTAAAGAGCTAAACATTTTTACATTTATTTTTTAAACAGAAAAATATTAATTCTACACACTACTCAAATATTTCAATGAGAAACATTTCAGTCAATTGACCTTTAGTTTATTGACGAAAACATTGCTCATTCAAATATTATTGTGTAGGATTAATACTTTTCTAGTTTATATTGTATTTTAATCTCATGAACCCATGATTGATTTGGGTGTGTGAGGCAATGCATGTTTTAATGTTTCTTCCTTTAACCATGAAATTTAGGCAAACATCTTAATTGTAATACAAGTTGTGTACACACAACACATAACACATCAGAGTCTCGAACGTTTGCATGCACGTTCATGACTCAAATTGAGAAAAAGCCACCAAATATCAAGAAAACTCAAAGGCAATCTGAGTGTGTTTGAGCATGTAGATGCCTGCGAGCGCTAGAAACAAACAGCATATTTACACGCATTCACACGCATGCATGCAGATGAGTCTGACCATCGTGTCAGGATCTGTGCTGCATCAGCCAGATTTATCATCCTCTGCGTGTGTGTGTGTGTGTGAGAGAGAGTGTGAGTGTGAGAGAGAGAGAGTGTGTGTG